CACCTCCCTTTCCAACAGCTGTTCCACAGTCACTAACCTGGGCCCCCAGCTCAGAATTCACTCACTACCTTGACAGTCTGCCCAGCCTGTGAGAAAGGCCTTTGTCCTCTTCTCCACCTAATTGCTCTCAAAGGCCCTGCCCCAACACTGCCACCATGACACTCCTGTTTCAGCATGAGATTTGGAGGGGACAAGCCATCTTCAGCCACAGCACCTGGACATCTCTTCTGTGGAACCAATAATTGAGCGACTGAGTTGGGCAGAGGGAATAGTTGTTTGGAGAAGAAGGGGCTGGGACAGAATGGACATTCACAAATCCAGGTAGGATGCTTAGGACTTCCCTCGGAGGTAAGGCACCGCAAATCTGGGCCCCCACACAGAGCCCTGTGAGATGCACAGAATTCAGCATTCTGTTACTTTACGCTCTCCTTAAGGAAGGTCCCCTCTCTGCATGGGCAGGTCACAGCTGAGCTTAGCCCTCTAAGGGCAGAGGGTAGCAGGTACATACAGTTTAAAAATAAAGAACATCATTGGACCCTGGATCTGAGCCACGAATAGTGCTTCTCATCAGCTACCCTTTCTACTTAAAGAGCTCTGTAGGTCAGGGCTGGCCGGAAACAGTTTTTCAAGTCACTTCACAGCAAGCAACCTTTATGCTTGAGCACTTCTAACTTGCAGTCCTTCCCCATGTGTGCAATTAAGAGGACTATAAAAAGAATAATTAAATAGGCCATTGGGAGCCACTCTTCTAGCCCTCTTTCCCTGTGGTTGATGAGTTCAAACAAGGCCAAATGTTTTCAGCTTTGCCTTCTCTGAGTGAAAGCATAGTAGGCACGGTGTTGTACGAGTCTCTTGGCCGCAGGATGTGTTGATGACAGTGGAGCACAGGTGCCACAGGTCATTTTTCTTTTGTCGAAAAGCTCCCGAGGGTCTGCCTGAAAGCACCTTTGCATTTGCTAATGCGTGGTCAAGGGAAGTCCCTCACTGCCACTGCCACTCTGTCTGCCGACTTCCTCTTTGTCCTTTGGAAATCACATTAAACTCTCAGCTTTGCCATGCCTTCCCCAGCTTCAGCCATATGACCAAGTACTTGCCATTTAGTACATCGTATAAGGTACTCACTGGGGACAAGGTGTCTCAGGGGGGCTTGGCCACAGCCTACAGGTCACTGGTCTACATCCCGAGACTCCCAGTAGCTTTAACACCCAGCGCATCTTCATTGTGGACGTGGACAGTGAGGATGGACAGTTGCAGGTAAGTATTTAGATAGTCTCTCAGATGACGTGTGGAACTGTGTTATCTCACAGAAGAAAGGACGCTTTGGATGCCCCTTCCTGGTCACCAGCCTCTAGCAGGTTGGTTGTATACAGGGAAACTGGAATCCCTGGGCCTGGGAGAGAGTTGCTGCCTCTGCTGGTGAGCCTGATGTTCTGTTGCTCCTGGTTGAATGGCAGGAGCCATAGCTCTGCTCTGTGCCCTAGGAGCTGGAGCACCCTCTAGGTGGAGACATTTGAGGGCTGTTGGGTCGACTTGAGAAACACATGGGAAGTAAAGCACACCTCTGAATGTGTTCTGAGGGAGTTTCTGTAGGTGATTGACATGAGGGACAACAAACTGATGAGGAAAACCCGCCCAGACTGTGACTGGTACCATCCAATAGCTGGGAACCTGGATGCAGCAAAGGCGGAGGAAAGAGGAAATTAGCCAGGCCTGAAGCTGGCTCACACTCTGCTTCTGGTCTTCTGCAGCTGATCAGCCTTTGTCCCTCACACCCCTTCCTCCAAGAGGTGCTGCCTCCCCACAGGTCTACAAGCCGTGGAACCAGCTGACGATGGACTGGGGCCTCTGATACTATCAGCCAAAGCAAACCTTTCCTCTGCATGGTTATTCTCAGGTATTTTGTTACAGTGACAAAAGACTAGCACAATTTAGTTACCCAAGTAGTTCTAAGCAAAGCCTGCAGGATATAGCACACGAACTCATGATCCTCCTTAACTACTCTGATCTCTACTCTTGGGTTATTCTTAGCCAATGTGCAGTTGATATTTTCTAGGCTTGTAGCTGAAGTAACAGAAACCCAGATGGACATGCTGCTTGTGGTATCCCCTGAGTGTAGGACTTGTCACTCAGATCAATAATAATTAATAGCATCCTTTGGAAACCAAATAGGATACCAGGAAGAGTACTGTGTTCTCATTTAAAAAATTATTGCTAAGTCTCTGTTCTGCTACACTATTTGGCAAAAAGCTTGCATAGGCAAGGATTTAAAGATCAAAAAGAGACTGTCCTGGTTCCTTAAGAAGCTCTAGTAATCAATAAAGCTGTCCATGCAGCCAAGGGTATGCACTGGGACCGTGCATACTGCCCTTGAGCACAACAGCGCCCCTGCTGTGTGGGAGTTATTTCCACTTCACAGGTGAGAAACAGGCTCAGAGATGTCCTTGGCATGCATCTTGCATATGATCTGGTGAGATGTACATTTAGGTCTGAATGGCTCCCAGTTTTGTGCTATTTTCCCACCACGATGCTGCTTCCTAAAATGCTTATTTCATTAAGAAAACAGTAAGATATGAGAAACATTGAGATACTTGCAAATGGGGAGCACAAAATAACTTCCTCCACTTTGAGGTTTGAAGAAGTTTCATGGAGAACAATGACTTGACTCTTAAAAGATGCTGGGTGTTCACACAGAAGGGAGGCAGCACCATTGGCTGGGGCTTTCAGGAAGTATGGGAGGCATGCCAGGGGTAACAGGATGTGGTAGGAAATGAGAATGATCCCTCAAGTTAGAGCCTTCACATTATGGGAAGGACTCTGTCTTGTTCCAGTGAAAGTCATCAAACGTTATCAGCAAGGTGAAAATAAGTCCAGATGGGGGACTGAAAAGGGGCAGTTTACAAAAAATGAAAACATAAGGAAAATACTGGAACACAAGTGGTTGGGTAGGGTGCTTTCATCCAAAGACAGGGAAAGCAGATTAAAGAGAGCAGATTAAAATGGCAAAGACGAGTGGAACAGACAACTTGGTTTGGAAGTGAAACACAAAAGGTAGATGAGGAAAAATAGGTTAGCATTCACAAAGCGTTTCCTGTATGCTAGCTGCTATGTTCAGCCTACCACAGGCTACCTCCTTAAAACCACAGAAAAGGTCTACAGTAGTAATGTGCTTATTACTCCAGTTGCACAGTGGGAAAAGTTGTGCATGGAAGGCTCAGTAATAACCTTCAAATTGTAGACAACTTGAACTCAGGCTGTGTGCTTCATAAACTTTATTTTTCACTATTGTATCATATAGTTCCCAGGATGGGTTCCAAATTCTCATTAACTAAGATATGAACTGGAGAAAGAGGCAAAAGTATGTAGAGTTATTGAGAGCAATTTGCCCATTTTGAATTTAAATGTCTTATAGTATATACAGCCGGGAGTGTCTTGTTACTCATTTGGAAAGACAGAGCAAAGGGAATTATAGATAAAGCAGTTATTGTTGTGTAGATACTGGTTGATACTAGATGACCACACAAACACAGTGGGGGAGCTATAAACAAGGGCAGAGTACAGAGAGAAAGAAATGCTGTAAAGACAGCTTTCCTTGAAAAGAAATAAACACACAGACAAATAGAATCTTCAATAACACAAATTCCATAAACTCAGTCTTTATTTTTGATTTGCCTTTTGTGACTTATTTTCTTGCATGAGATTTATTCACCTGGCTTCTCATAATCGTTGCCTTATTGAAGTGTGAAAAACCGTTCCTCTAGAACAATAGCTCAAGAGAACCCTGGAATTTTCTTGAAAGGTAACATTACTGAAGATCACATACTTGCCAAAATTGGACATGTAAGCATTCATGTTTTAAAATTAACACGAATGAGTTTCCAGTAAGGAAAAATGATATTGACAAAATTAGAAGCAGAGGAGCTGTCTGTTCCTAACTTCCTCCTGGTCCCTTTTTCTCATCATCTTGCTACAAACTGCTTTTGCCAGCTGTGGTGCGGAAAGAATCTCAGATGCCAACAGCCTGAGTAGGAGAAAGGGGTCACCATGTGACACCTAATTTAGTGGTTTCACTGAGAGGGACATGCCATTCACTGCTGGCATTTCAAAGTGCAATTGCTGGAGGGAGGGAAGGGCTGAGTGACAGCACAGGTGCTCCTGGGTCAGCAAATATTGTCTCCCAAGTCCCAAACAGAGGAAAGGCTTCCTCCAGTAACCACCCAGCAGTTACAGGGATTCAGCTGGGAGAGACACGGGAACCCTAGCTGTGACTACTGAAATGCCACCCTTTACCATGGCCCCATCTTGCATAGGAGACACATAGGCATGGGTCTGGCAAGGTGAGAGGGGCCTGGAGAAGGGGACTTCCTCACACAACCCCTAAATTTCTTTCCAAATCATCTCCTAAAACAAAATAAACAGTGTTGCCCGGGGAAGAGTTCAAAGAGCAACCCAAAGGTACTTTGCAATTCTCCTGTATTTTATAAAAGTATTTACATTTCTCTTTTTGGTCATGGCAAGGTCTGTTGGCACAAAGAGCACAGCCACAAAAGAATCTTTAGATTTTAGCAACTCATCTTATATAGATTTATATATATATATATATATGTATATATATATTTCTTCTCATTTTCATTTCCTCAGCAAAAGGGGAAATAAAAATATTGATCTATAAAATAAGAGGATGATAACACAATGCCAAAAATAGCTTATGTTAAGTGCAAGGATTGAAGCTTGAGAGCAAGCTAAATTGCAACAACATATTGATTTAACGTTTAAATACAAGACTTGCAATAAAATAATTCTGGAGATAAGCTTCTTAGTTTTAGTTTACTTTTTAGAAACTACTCTATATACACATATCCAGTTGTAACACTTGACAGTAGCAGGATGCGGCATGATATAACTTTGGTACACGTTGCAGACATGGATAGTTAATGAGTGTGAATGATATCTCTCACCAACAGGGCCCTGCACAGCCAGGTGACCAGCTACCCGCTCCCACATCGCCGCCCACCAGAGTCCCCACAGGCCTCCCCAGAGCCTTCGAGACAGTGGAGAACTCAATGAAACACTGAGTTCACTGGGTTAAGACAGGCTCACTGGATCCATATCGTGTTTCCTCTCTCAGGTCTCCTGGGTTCCACTGTCAGCTCCCCGAACGTGGAGAAGAACTGCTCCATTTCCTTCTGCAGCATGTCGTTTCTTTTCTCAGCATCTTCCTTCGCTCGCTCGGCATTCCGCATTTTGATTTCTATCATGGTGAACTTTTTCCTTTCTTGATCCAGTTCATCGTGGAGGCTCATCATTTCTGTTTCCAAAGTCAAGTTTCGCTGTTCTAAGCTGCAAGGAGGGGGAGAGGGAGGAGGAAGAAAAGATAAAGAGAATGCAATGTGAAAGGAATACCAATATTTTCTAAACTGTGTCTGTCTATGATGTTCGGGAGATTAGAATGAGCCCTTTCAAATCAGCAAAGCAAGGTAATGGTCTAAAATGTTTTATTTTGTGGTATATCTTACTATTGGCTGACATGACTTACTCCTTTTTTACTAATAAGTCACAAGACGTCTCTGGGAAATGATTAGATGTTACTTAATAGTCAATGTACGCCTGTTAGCACAGAGAAGCTAGACATTCAAATCATACAGCACAGACAGGGCAGAAGTAGAAAACAGCCAAACCCCAGGAGCTTCTGGGACATTAACATCAACTAAAGGAGGAAATTCTGATAGAGTTGGAGAAAAAGGGGACAACCACATTTGCCTTCTATCAAAGGAAAACTACTGATAGCAAAAACATGATTGCTTGTTCTGAAATGTTGAGTTCATTGGATTAAGACTTGCCCTGCGTGTTAGTAAAGCACCCTCCAGGTGTGTCTGGGGGTGCTCAAGAAGTCGTGGCTTGAGGTTCTACATCTGGGCTCTGGCTCCTTCCTCTCTAGGGCTGGTCCCCTGCTCTGCTTCTCTGCAGCCATGATCTAAGCAGCTTTGCTCCGCCACCCTCTTCCACCAAGACATTCCTGCTTTGGAGCCAGCTGACCATGGACTGAATCATCTGAATCATGAGCTGAATTAAAACTCCTACCTTTGAACGGTGGTGTCACTATCGTGTCTCAATGATAAAAAATCTGTTGAATACAGATATCATTGTATAATGAAGCCCACTTCTAAGAATAGGCTTTTTGCAAGCAGAAATTCTCACAAGTAGCTGGGTTACATGGATAAGGGAGGGCAAAGATGTGGGGATTTAAAAAGAACACTACACCTATTTGTAAACATGGGTCCCAAATGATCGTCCACTCTCACCAACTTTTCAACGTTTTCCAAATGGATAGGGTAGCTTCTTTAAAAGCAGAGACTGTTTTTCTCAATCACCACTAAGATCCAAGATACATATTATATATGTATATATCCACACACAAAAATACACATGCAAACACATATGCATGCATACATATATGTATATGCTTTACAAGAGAAATAGTAGGGGCTGGGGATTTAGCTCAGTGGCACAGCGCCTGCCTGGCAAGCGCAACGTCGTGAGTTTGATTCCTGGCACCGGAAAAAAACCAACCCCCCCCAAAATAAATAAATAAAAGAGAAATAGTAAACACTGGTCTACTATAAGATATGGTCTAACAACAGGGTGACTTTTTGATTTTTCCTTTTTTTTTGAGCTAAAGCCACATTGGATAATTCACATTTACCAGATCACTGAAATTAGAAATGTTAATGAATATAGGTATGGCTTTTATTTTAGTAACGATTATAAAATGAAAATCACAATTATTTTTGGTTTTGAAAAAATGAGCCACTTATGTTACCTGATATTTCATTCAGATAAGATCACTTAAAAAGGAATCTGTCATCCCTTTATAAGCAACTAGAATTTTGTAAAAATAATATTTTTTACTTTGTAAAAGTTGAGAAGACTAGTTTAGGCATAATGATGTATGAAAGAATCTGGTACTGGGTTGTTGCTGCCCAGAATTATAATACAGTATATTCTTTTTGCCTTGTGAAGCTATTGTGAAATTAAAAATGTTGGAAGAACCCAAAGCTTGATAAGAAAACAGACCATATCAAACAATATGTTGATACATTTGTATTTATGAGGTACTTGCAACTTCCAGAAATCTAAAGTATTGAATGGAGACATAAAGAGTCCCTTCCAATACTAACTCTTAAAGATGCTGAAAAACATAAGAATAAAGATTTTTTTAAATAGTAAAGGTTAAAATAAATTTAAAAATATGCCTTCAGGTATCAGATCCTAACTCTTATGTAGCACAGTGCATTGAACACACAGGAGTACTGGTCCCACACAGAGGCCCTAGAGAGTCTGGCTAAGTCCTTCTTACTGTGTGGGGACAAAAGGAGGGGAGCTCTGTATAAGAAAGGTAGAAAACTACAGGGCATTAAACTGAGAGTTGAATACAAGACACCACTGCAAAGAAGGTGCTCCTCATGGGCCTGTGGACATGGCAGAAATGAATCAGCTGCAGAGAGAATGAGTAGCACAGAGTGTCTCACCGAATGGCTAAGTACAGCAATTTAATATCAGACAAAGACACGAACAGAGATGGAGGCTAGATTAAGAATGTCCAACACATGATGCTTAATAAAGTTTGAGAAAGAGGGACTGAGAAATGGCAGAGATGAAATAGATAAATTGAGATGAATGAAAACATTCTAGAGTTGAAAGAATTAGGAGTCCTCAGATCAAATGACAAAACACACCTATTGAAAGTTAAGGAATTAAAATAAAACCTGAGGAAGTTACTAATAAAAAAGATGGCTAATGATTTTAACATCCAAAAAAGTAGACTCAGACAAAAATCATTACTGCAATAAAAGATGATATTTTTAACAATAAAAGAATAGATATCAAAAGGAAACATAAAAATTCTGAGTATTTACATGGTAGTAAAGACCCAAACTATTCAATGTAAAATTTACCAATGATAAGGAGAAGTTGATAACCCTGAAAATAATATTAGGAGATTCTAAGATACCTTTCTCAGAAATTTTACATCTGTTTGACAAAAATTAGAAAAAATATAGATGATTTCAACATCTTGATGAGCATACTTGATTTATTTGTCATACACACTATCTCAACCCAATAATAAGAGAATAGTTTTTACTGGACCAAATAACTGATATCATACAAATGAATTTCTCTACACATAATGCAATATTTTCTGAGAAAATAAAGTTAGAAACCAGTTGGAAGCACTGGAGAAAGAATAATAAACTGACACATTTAAAAACTAAAAATATTATGTCTCATGGACAATTTAAACAAATATTCTATTATCTGTCTTTCCATCTATCCACCCATCCATCCATCCATCCGTCTGTCCATCCATCATCCATCCATCCATCCATCCATCCATCCATCCATCCATCCATCCATCCATCCTCGATATTTTATGGAGTGCTGTAAAAAAGGAATTTAAAGAAAAATGTATAACACTGAACAGAGGAGTGGGAGTTAACCAGAACATTTTACCTCTCATATCCCCAGGGTTTAAGACTGTTGCAGCCTACCCCCACCTTCCTGCAACCTGTCTCTGGTGCTCATGTGGTGTCAATGCTAGGGTGAAATGGCCCTTGGAAGGGCATTTGGGTAGTGGAAAGTTCCACTACCTTATCACACTGTCAGAAATGTTTAACAGATCTTAGGGCATAAATTCACCACCCACATCCTCAGATATGAATGCAAACACCTGCAGCTTCAGACTGATAATATTTTCCTGCTCCTAACAGAACTTTAAAATGTTACCCCTTGCTTTGAAAGATAAGCTTCCCAGTGCTAAGTGCTAACATGTTATCAAGTACTGGCCACATTCCAGAATTCTGGTGGCTAATGGTTCCAAAACCTGCACTCAGATTGAAAAGCAATCTTATAAGACAATGGTTCTGCTTTCAAAAAGACATTAACCCTCTGGCAACTCAATATTATAGTTACAGAGAACAATTCAAACCAGTTTTCCATTCAATGAAGCCTACAAAAAAATCTGTTCCCGGAAGTCATTTTTCATACTCTTAAGTAGCATTTTTGTTTGTATTTGGTTTCCGTAGCTCCTTAAGGCATGTTACCTTTTCTTCTAATAATTGATAAGAGGATGGTAAACATTAGGATAAATTAAGTTCAACTATATGTATACTTTTTATCTATGTATCAAGTTTCATATAAAACCAGGGATTTGGGGGCCATGGGGTGAGCTGAAGCAGGACAATTTGCTGAAGATCCTATCCACTATGCAGAAAGTGGTCCCCCAGATTACACAGCTTGAAACTGTGACCGTGAGAGGGGCTGCCTGTGCTGAAGTGAGCCTCCACTCTGCTTCTGCTGACTTGATAATGTGGAGATCTTTCTCCTACAGCAGAGCGGCAGAACATAAAAGCAATCCATTTGTAGTTTCTGTGACTGTGACGAAGATGCGGGGCCTGGGGATTTCCAGGGCTCCAGCACAAGGCTGTCCCTGTGTGTCCCGGACTGCATTCTCAAGGGGGCCTTGACACCAGGAGCTCTGAAAATATAGGACACTCAGCCAGTGTCTCTTCTCCTGTCCATGGTGCTGCCCCGAGGGAGCTGCTAATCAAATTTCTTCCTCACCATCTTCTGAAAACAGGCAAATTGTTATACAGCAGATTTTATTTTATTTTATTTATTTATTTTTTGTTTTGGTTTTTCTCTGGTACCGGGAACCAAACTCACGACCTTGCGCTTGCCAGGCAGGCGCTTTTGCCGCTGAGCTAAATCCCCAGCCCCTACAGCAGATTTTAGAATCACTGCTTCCTTATAGGTTATAAGGCCTGCACCAGATTTAGGCTCCAATCTCTCTTTTCCTTAGTAATACATGTGAAGAGTCCTACATGGATTCCTAGGCAGAAGATGACCTTTGCAAAGCCCTCTCTCCCTTGGCACTTGTCCCCTCCCTGAGCTCATTGGAATCTTCTAGGCTGAGCAGATAGAAGATACACTCTTACCATTCAATGATTGAAAGAATGAAAAATAAAGATCTGCTCACTGTTTATTTTTAGCCTTGGCTTTTTAACTCAGTTGTTTTTAAACACTCTGATTTTATCCTTTTCCTGTCAGTGGAGTTATCACGTAATTTATTCTGTTTTCATCTCCCCCATCCCTGCCCCATGCAATCTTCTCATGTAGGCACACACATGCAATAATAACACTGGCGAGCACCTGTTCTGTACCAGGACAAGGTGCACTGACTTCTCAGTGCTTTTGAGGTAGATGCAACTAGGATCTACATTTTTCCCACTAGGAAGCCAAGGTGCACAGAGATTAAACCAACATCCCCAAAGTCCCCCAGCTTGCATAGGGTGCAATGAGGACTTGAACTTGGGTCTCTCTGCCCTTGCAGTCTGCACATTTAGCCCCTCAGGGGATTTCCATCCCACAGGGGGATGCTGGTGCATCCTCCTGCAGTTAGGATCTCCGGACTTTCCTCACCTCTTTATCCTGGTCTCGTACTCTAGCTTCTGTTTGGTCATCTCCTGTTTCAGGCTGGAGACTAAACTGTGCAGCGCACTGTGGGTGCCGGTGTTGTTACCAACAAATGTCTCACTGTTGTCACTGCTGCTGGTGGCACGGCTGCTGCGACCTCCCACGCTCCTATGGTCACTTTTGCTTTCATAGTCCCCGGGGTGAGAAATGTCATCCTGGGGTGGCCCATCCAGAACAGGATCCTCAAAGTTCCCCCCATAAAAGTCTTGTTCTGGGCAGGTGGTCGTGGAGGAGCGGCAGGAGTTGGAGTTCTCGGGGAGGGAGATTTCACAGGAGGAAGTGGACCAGGTGGCACTGTCCACACTCTGTTTGTCGTCAAGGTTCATCATGGAGAACTGCTGGTGGACATTGTCATAGGTGGAAAGCCTGTTGTGCTGGGCCGACTCTCCAGCTTGCTCCTTTTGCTTGTTGTCCCTCAGGGTCACGTAGCCATTGGGCAGCCAGCTCATGCTGCGACCATTCACGGGGTTCCCGAGCATGTCGGGGTTCAGGATGCCCATGCGCACCGTTCCGTTCTGTACGCTGTGGGTGCCCATTTTGGTACCAGACCCCTTCAGAGAAGAGGTCCTCCTGGCTTGTAAGCTGCCATTGGGTGTGGTCTGAGTTTTCTCCAGACTTTCTGCATTACTGCTGCTGAAGGACCCATTGGTGACTATCCCGCTACCCTTATTGAAGGCAGGGTTCTTTTTGACCATGAGAGGGGGGCTCCTAGACACATCCAGCTTGTGGACACTGTTCCTTGGACTGTTGGTTTTGCTACTTGGCAGAGCTGTAGGGGATCCATTGTCCATGCTGCTTCTCTGGGGAGACTCAGACTTGTCCCAAGAGCACTGCCGACCAGGGCTGTCCTTGGTGTTATTGTTTTCCTTGTTCTGTAACTGACCCATGGTAGCTTTCTTCTGAATGTCATTGTTGTTGTTGCTTACTCCGTCCTGGGGCTTGCTTTGTAATTCTGCGTCTTTGGGGAAGAGGCAATCGTGTTTGCTAATCATCACGGACATCAACTGCTGGACCACCACAGTGCCTGAAATTGCATAGAAAAGAAAGGGATGTGAGGGAGGAAGCTTTGCTTGGACTGGGAGATCGTTCCTGCATTTAATCCTTTCCAAGGTTCTGGTCCCAAACCGAGTTGGATAAGAACTGAATCAAACTCAGTGATTAAATTCAATGTTGGTGGAAATTTGATTCAATTTTTGTCAGATTGAGTTTAGGACACAGTCATGGAAAGAATTAAGTTTGTGAGCTGAGGTACCACTGTATTTCCTATTTTTAATGTGAGTCTTAAACATATTTAGGTAAAATTCAGCATTATTATCAGCAGTGCCATTCTTGATGATTATATTCTTGATGATTACAAAAGCAATAGATGTTAAAATTTCCTGAGCAGTTACCCTGTTCCATGAACTGAACTAACCACCTTATTTTTATAGTTACTTGGATTTTTATGTATATATATATTTTTTTCTTACTGTATTTGAAAGGTTTAATAATCTGATCAAAATCACAAAGCTACTGAGGACCAGATTTTGGGCTTATATCCAGTTACCTAGCTCAAGATTTAGACTCTTAATCATTATACTACATTAATTGCAAGTTTTACCTATAAATAGGAGAAATCAACTCAGGTTGATCTTTCACCAGAAACAGCAATTCAAAAATCAGTTGATCTCTCAGGAGCTGTGGTGCAGCAGTTGAAATATCAAATATATCTTCACACATTGCTCTTTGCTGTATAAGCAGGGCTCCTGTCTCCTACAACGAGCTGCAACTATCATGAGCAGCAACTTGACCTGGGGCAAAGCCATTTCCTAACCCGAAGCAACCCCTTAGCAAAATAGTTCATATTCAAATTGTGAACAGGAAACGTATGTTATGTTCATCTACATGCTCTACATATTTTCTGTAACAACTTGAATTTATATTTAGACAGAGTGCTTGCAGTGTGCCACATCTGCTGCTAGACTAACGTTGCTCAGATTTTAATGTTCGAAAAGATCACCTAGAGATCTTGCCAAACTCAGACTCCAATTCCATAGCCATCTGGTGGGACGTGAGAGTATATGTTTCTAGCTGGCTTCCAGGTGACAGCAGCAATAACAGATCAGCGACACCAGCTTCGGCTGGGAGTATCTCGATTTCAGGAGCTTCTGCAGACCTCGAGAACCAGAATCTGCATGGGAGTAACATTCCCTGGTGACCCCTGTTTGCATTAGAGTTTGAGAAACCCTGCAGTTGATGGGAAGAGTTCTTATATATCTTCCCAGTTAAGTTTCTCAGAAGTCTGTGAGGTAGGGCTTAACAATTTTTCAGATGAGAAAAATTCAGTCTCAGAAACGTTAAGCTATCCGCTGAAGGCCACAGATGGATAAATAAGGGGACATTTCACACCCCTCTTTCTTATCCCAATTTGTACACTATCTGGCTAGAATTCAGCTGCTAGAATTGAAGCCAGTGAGAATCATAAGTAAACTCAGAGAGTTCTACAAAACTAAATAAAATACAACAATCTATTGAAACACCTGCAATTATGGCAGGTTTGTGGGAGAAAACAGACTAAATGAAATAATTTTATTGTATATACATCTGTCCTCTTTTAACAGGCCCTAGATTTTAATCAGAGTTGCAATGCAGTGAATCTGATGAAAGATTTTAGAGCAGCAAAAAGCCTGTCAACACTGTCACTGTTGAGGACATCGTTTACTCGATGCTATTTTACGGTCTGCTCACAGGAAAGATACACTTCCCAGCGTCAGTTAGAGCAGGTTCTGGACTAGCACTTAGGGAAAAATGAACCTTCTTCCCATCTCTGGAATATTAACATTAAAGCATCTCTGTTTTCCATGATAGCAAAGAACTCTGGGAGGCATTTAATTAATTGAAGAACAGCTCCCCAAAGTGTCTATGATAAGTCTATGACAGCCATTAGAAAGTGTATCTGCCACAATTACAGAGTGAGTGTCAGTGCCCAGCAGATGGAGAACCTCTTGCTTGTGTGTCAGAGGCTTTGCTTTCACCTAGTCTCTGTGATGACAAACGGCAGTCGTTCTCTGCAAGGGATCCTCTGAGACTGACTAGGTTGGTAGTGATGAGGATGTGTGTGTCGCTCTGTGTGTCATCTTTTCTCGGTTTTGCTTTCCTCCTCCCTGTCATTTCCTTTCCGTGAATGCTGATAAGGAACATTAAGCCCAAATGAGGTCAGAATGTTATAATCACCAGGCTACTATACAGAGTTCAAGCAGATTCTGGAATCCACTGTGCTACACAATTCAGCAATTCCTCCTGCTCATATATATGTTGAATTTAAATAACATATTACAGGTACTGTTTCTCATAGGCATTGACTAGGAATTCAATTTTACTTCAAAAATACCTAGGCACCATTACAAACAGATCACACATAGGCAGCATTCTGTGCAATATAGTTTCAATTTGTAATTTTTGCAAGAAACAACCTATACATTTGTCACTTTGCATGTCTGCAGAGATCTGTAAGATAATTGATGGATTCTGACAAATGTATAGTGCCAGGGAAAACATGTAATGAGGATAAAGAAAAGTTTTCGTGTGCACCAATGTGCTTTCTGTGACTATAGCTACATCTGGTCCCTGGCCCCTTCCTCTCCTGCATGCCTTCTAACCTGCTCTGCTTCCTGACTGTCAGGATTTGAGAGCGTGGCTCCCGCAGGCCCTATACCATGGTGTTCCTGCCCTGGAGCCAGCTGAGCATGGACTGAATCCCCTGAAGCTGTGAGCCAAGCTAATTTCCTCTCTTTTAGGTTGTGGTTCATTAAATTCCAAACGCTAAGAAAACTGACCAATACAGCATCTGTGGGGAAGAAAGGAGTGGAATTAAAGGGGGCTCTGATGGGCCTGAACTCATTAGCATTTCATTGGAAAATGCAGATGGCTCTTCCAGGAGAGCAGCTCTGGGATGGAATCCTGCCTCATCTACTATGGTGACCTACAGTAAGGACAGGGGCAGTGAGAGCCTTCCAGCCTCTGTGAACTCTCCATGCTGACTACCCAGGACCACCCTCCAGGTAGGACCCAGGTGGGGGAACCACTGAGCATGGACTCAATGTGGAGCAGGAAACAGATGATGTGGAGAGGGAAACTAAAATCAGAGGAAGAAGCAAGCCAGGATGTCTCAAAGCAAAAGGCTATGCTTCTGAATTCATCTGAGAAAACACATAGGGTTCTGAGAAGTTGGAAAGGCTAACTGGAACGTGTCTTTCACATAGGTGTGGCTTGTGACAGCATACCACATGTAAAATTGGCTGAGTCAGGCTGATCTCCCAAATGTTGATGTGTTTAGTTCCACAATATCAAAGACACTTTTGTTAACACAGCACTAGCATGACTTCAAAAGTGTCTAAGGATTAGAAAGCTGTTAAGCTCAAAGTTTTACTACACCAGTTCTTTTTATAAGGCAGCTCAAATTTTATGGAGGACAATAAATCCAGCTAGCTGTATTTCTTGAAACAAAAAGTTAACTTCATTTATTTTTTGAGACTATACCTGCCTAATGCTCAAGTTTGAATAATCATAGTTTGGTTGTCATTTTTCGTATAAAAATGAAGTTATATGGGCCAAGCATGGTGGCACATGCCTGTAAACCCAGCATTGATGGCGGCTGAGCCAGAGCATCAGTTACTATATTACTTTAACAAACAGTATGCAGAAAAATGCTTTATACATTGAGCTCATTACTTCCCAATACTATTAAAAACATGTTTAGGTTGGAAATTTAATACAATCAATATTTTTTATGAGAAGCTTCCTTATAACATTGGCATTTTCTTTCTGGTTACATCTGGATAGTAGTGGAGAACATGATGCCAGTCCCATGTGGCACCACAGACTTGATTCATGCCAATGGTGGTGTTAATTATTTGCTTAGCATTCTGTCTATACCACTAATGCAAACATCGATGCAGTGAAAGGACAGAAACCAGCTAATACTATTTTTGCTTGAACCTGTAGAGCTTCTGAATGTATCTCAGAGGCCTCCACAGAGCTGTGAACCCCAGGCTGAAAATCACTGGGGTTGAGAAACACCAATATGGTAATGTGTGGGGGGGTTATATTAATATAAAATATAAGGGCTAAAATAAAGAAAGTGCAATATATATGTGTATACTCTATATGATAGATAAGGTAAAAATATTAAAATAATGAAAGGAGTAGTAGAAGAACATATTTAAAGTTTTTAAATATTTTAGTAATCATAGTGGTGTTGGTAGTAATAGTATTATTATTCTGAAAGTACTGAGTACAATGAGATATACTATAGAACAAATACAATAGAGCAAATATTAATTATGAGATATTCTAATTCTGTCATTTTTAATGTCTTTGAGAACCACAAATATTTTAAGCAAAGATGATGGAACTTTAATAGAGAAAGAATAAATAAAAAACCTATGGCAGTCTTTATGAATTGGGAGCATAACATGAACTTTAGAGGCACTTTTTCCTTAATGTGTGTGCATGTGTGCATATTATATTTGTGCATGTGAATGGAAATCTATTGTCAACTATAAGGTCTAGAAACAATAACCAAGCCAGTAGCAAGAAATGTCACTGGTACTTAGATTTTGGCCTTGAAATATCATTTCTCCACTAAATAAATCAGGATGTCTTGATAATTGGCCAATTCTAGACTGGGTCAGGAAATATATTATGAGTCTGGGAAATGTCATACTAAAAAGAAAAGATGTCATCTAAAAATACTAAGGTTATGTCAAATGGACTAAAAAGACAACTCAAAAAGACTTCCACTGGCCAAAAATGAGAAAATATGAGTGAACTTTAATAGAGGCTAATAATTACAATGCCCTGACCCATCAAATCAATTTTACAACCTGAATTCATAATGCTATTTATAAATGGAAAAATAGTATTCTCTTTTAGAGATTATCACCAATTAATTTATTTATTATGAAAACTGGTAAAGGGTAGCATCTAGCCATATGGTCTCACTTATTTGAGTTACCTATTGCAGGCAAATTCACGGTGACAGAAGGTCAGTGGTAGTTGCCAAAAGCTTGGTGACAAAGGGGATGAGGAATTAGCACTGAATGGGTACAGAGTTCGAGCTCTACAAAATGAAGGGGTTGGTGGTGATTGTTACATAACAGTGAGAATGTACTTAATACTACTGAACTGTATACTTAAAGATAGCACAATAATAGATTTTATGTTATGTATATTTTATAATAGATAATAAAAATAGAAAAAACAGTATTAGAATATAGTCATTTCAACTACCAGTGAATTCATGCTAGGGATTGTGTGAAATTTGCAAAAAGAGTTAAACAGACATTGCATGATTGCTGGTTTAAGAACACAACACAGTTTATACTCATGCCAAGGAGATCAAAGATGAATTTTGTCAAGGTTCTAACTTGTAGAACATCTAAGTTAAAAGAATATGTTAAACTTTACTATGAATACACAACCAACAAAATCCAGACTATGGGAAGCTACAGGTTAAACAAGCACATTTTCCAGATAATAAGGTATAGGAGATTCTGTAAGCTAAAAAATTTCTTAAAATATATGAAGTAAAGGAAGAAAAAACACAATATAATTCCTGGGGAAGTGTGTGAGGCAAGACACCCAAGAGAGAATGTCATGAGTGTCTGAGTATAAGGACGGAAGCATTGTGATCAGCTTTGTGCACAAGAAAGGCCTTCAGGAAGCATTCTGATTTGGTCTAGGGGATGATTTCTAGAGGAAATGTGTGTATGTGTGTGTGTGTGTGTGTGTGTGTGTGTGTGTGTGTGTGTGTTGTGTGTTGGCTTTCTTTACTGTGTAAATTGTAATTTATAATAAAGGTTTAAAAAATAATGGACTAAAGTATCTCTAAGATTTTTATAGATTAGATTTTAACATTTTCTAATGACTGTGAAATGGTTCATATGGAAATTAGTTTTTCTGGACTATTTTATTGCCAGAAATCTGACACTCAATTTATACTTCTTTCAGTAATAGACAAATGAAATTAAGCTGAGGTGTTATGAGTAGGTATCCAAAAGCTTTCTGTCTTACACACAGAGATATAGAGGAATGAAAATCTTAGAATTGTCAGGAAAGGAACAATATCAGCAAGTAAAATTCGTATAATGGAGAATGATATTTTGTTCTAAACAAACTCAAAGAGAAAAGAAAAATAAATATTCTTTCCTTTGCTCTATTAAGTTTTTTAATTTTCAGAAAACAGTGATGCCCTTAATGGCCACAGCACAAGAGCACTGGATGTGGAAGCATTAAACAGAAGGAGTAGCTCTGTGTGGAAAATAATTTAAGTCATTTCTAATTGGCTTCTAAGAATTCCTTCATGTTCTAGCCTCCAAGTAAATAGTCAGCATTGTCTTAAAAAAAGATGCACTCTCTTTACTTCCTGGAATCACTCAAAAGAAAACCAAATTAATAAACACATTAACTGCAAATAACTTTGAAATTTCGGAAAATTGCCCAGGACTTACAAAGAGACCTGCTTTTTTCTTTTCCAGTTCTTTCATCTAACACTTTAATGCTGATTTATTGATTTATGAATGCTTTATTTGTTCTCCTGAGGCTACTGGGGAATCGTTTTATGATTTTATGATTAGCAATTTAAACAAAATGGCCAAGTGTCAAAAGAGAAGCCTTTGCATTTGAAGAGTAAATAGGAATCAGAACATGGAGCTCTCAGAATTTGCCTATTTTTTTTTTTAAAGTTTGCTCACATAAGAATGGACTCTAGTCAGCTCCTTTTGATGAGGCTATGAGATCAACACTGGATTCTAGTCAACTCAGAAAAAGTAGATCTTCCTTTTGATGATGCCGTGAGATAACTGTTCACTCACCCTCCATGATGGTTAAAGGATCTTCCACCTTGGGACGCAGGATATTTGGACCAAACACAGTTGCCAAGTTCTGCACGCTCATTTTGTTAACTCCTGAATAGGACTGCACTTCATCCAAGAATCTATTGGTTGCAAGAATAAGGTCGAAACACAACGGGATTAAATTCATCAGGGGATGGAAATGGGTAGTTCAGACATTTATGGACTCAAGTACAGTATGTTTGAAGATGAGTAAGTGGACAAAATTATTTGGAAATTCAAACATCTCTTATTTATACTTAAAGAAAGTATATTGCAAGTTATGAAGAAATAAACTTTAAGGATCATATGAGATACCTGTTCTAGCTTTGCCCGGCATAGCTTCCTTGTTAATTAAAGGAGCCAGTGTATCTGGGAAATGTTGATATGGATGTAAGAGTCAAGGATGTGTTTTCCCTTGCTGGTGTTTACATAAGTGCCTCCCAAAGGCTTGGGTATAAAATGCCTGGTCCCCAGCCTACGGTGCTGTTGAGAAATGGTGAAAATGTAAGAGGTGGAGCATGGTGGGAGGTTTTCTGGCCATTGGGGGTGAGGTCTACCCTTAAAGGAGAAGATACAACCCTAGTCACTTCCTGTCTTTCTTTCTCACAACTCAGCCATGAAGTAAATGGTGTTGCTATGAACGCCTGCTCTGATACGCTGCATTGCCACAGGCTAAAAGTTACAGGGCTAGTTCATTAAGGATTGATTCCTTTAAATCTGCAAGCCACAATAAGTCTTTCCTCTCTTTAAATTGATTACCTCCAGTATTTAGTTACAGTAACAGAAAGTTGACTAACAGACCCAAGCCTTCAATAAGGTATAAAGCTTAGTGATGGGGCATGCCTGTAATCTCGGTTCTTGGGAGACTGAGGCAGGAGGATCACAAGTTTAAATCCAGCCTGGGAAAGCTCGTAATTTAGTGAGACCTTGTCTCAGAGTAAAACAATTTATAGAAAGAGGTTGGGGAATAAGTTCAGTGTCAAGGCCTTGGGTTGATTCCCAGTGATGCTAAAAAAATATTTTATACACATGTTCAGTTGGAGAATTCACTATAAAATCATCTGTTAAATCCTTTCTTTTATAGAGGAACCATAAACTCTTTGTGGAGGAATAAGAGCTTCAAATTTATAGTCTATTAAAAATAAGATCAAACATTGTGGAATTTAAAGCATTAGTTCTCCTGACACGACAAACTGCAAGGACAAATTTTTTAACTTATTAAGTACTAAAGAATAAAAGGCATCCAATAATCCTTTTCCAGGATGGTTCTAGCAAGAGATTGGTTCTGTAATCTTTCACCCCGTTTTTATTCCCCACCTCCTCTTCATTTCTACAAGAGCTTCTGCTGTTTAATGGATTGCTAATTATACTCATGAGATTAAAAGACAGTGATGGAAAATAAAGATAATACTTTTATATAGCTAGTGCTCTGTGCGTGTCAGTCATGCTGATTGAAGTCTCGAAGGATTTCCTTGAGATAGGTACTATTACTTGCTCACTTTATAGATGAGAGGGATGAGGTTCAGAGAGTTTAAGAATATTCACCAAGGATCTAGGATCAATATGTGCCAGAGGTGAGCTTTGATCCCAGGCAGTGTCTCCACTCTGAGTTGCTGAGGTCCCTATGTTCACATTTTTACTACTGTAATATGGTCTGAACTACAGAAAATAGAAGGCAAAAAGTCAAAATTAAACTAAATTAAAAGTCTCCTTAAGTGTTTCAAAAGAGAAATGAACTATTTCTGTTCTGGTTACAAGGACTTGCAATACTGTTCTTGAACAAGTGTTTCACCTCTTCTACTTAAAGAAGATGTGACCTTTTTCTCCTTCTCCAAGAATTTGAATTAGGCTGAAATCTTGGGATGAAAACCTTATGTGTTAATAAGTATATGTTTCCAAGGAAGCTATTTCTTGCTTTTGGAATTCTGAAACCTAAGGTCTCGCTTGTTCCTGCACATAACCATCACCAGCCCAAGTTGTGGTGTGAGTTCTTGGATCTACTACTCCATCCTCTGCATCATGTACTGCACTGTCAGGCTACTTGTTCAGTGCTATAGCTCCTAGCACTGTGTGAAACATGAGGTTTCACTACCATCATATCTATGATGACCCTGAAGCACAGACTTGTGAGACAGCTTCACACAGACAGCAGGCAGTCCAGGGTGGCTCCTGCCCTGCCTTCAATCTAGATAAGGGACAGGATCCCTTTGCTAGTGTCCCTCACAGAATGCAGGGGATTCTGATGCATGTTCAAAGGAACAGGTCTTTACTGTGTGGAGGCAAGAGAGATTTCACCACTACTGAATCACAAAACCAAGTGATCACAGTGCTCAAAAAGCTTTTGAAATCACCTTGTGGAACCTCTCAGCTTTCTAGAGACTGAGGCAGAAATCCCGAGCAGTTTCTGACTACTCACTGTCAAGCACAAATTATTGCCAGGCTAACTATAGTTTGCGTTGTTTAGCTTGTCTTTAGGAAAGTTCTTACCTGCAAATGTACTTAAGGAGGTTGTAATTGACCACTGGCAAACTCTTCACCTGCTTTGCTAGTTCCTTCACACCCTACAAAGAAGAGAATACATGTCATTTTTCTCTGTACTTGCCTTAGGATTGAAGTAAAGGGAAAGTGCCATACAACTGAGTATGCATGTACAATTCAGTACAGATGTTACTTTTTTTCATACGGCAAGTGCCATCAAAGTGAGTATGTATAATAAATTTATTTGACAAAATCAACCTTGATATGGTGAGGGTTTTCTCATTTTTAGCATTATTGCAATTGAGACAAACATGCCTGCTGAAAAATAAGTGTCTCTGAACTAGTCATGTCTAGGACACATCCTTTCGGGTGGAAAGAAGGCTGGAAACCCTTCTTGGAATTGCCCGGAGATTAATTTCTTTGGTTGATCCCATTGTAGAGCTTCCTCTACCACAGAAATGGTTCCAGAAAATCCAACTGATAATGTAATTGGATTTCTTCTTCCTGTACAGGGCCAGATAGTAAATATTTTGCACTTTACATGATATAGAGTCCCTGTTGTGACTACTTGACTATTCTATTGTAGTGCAAAAGCAGCCACAGACAGTATTATGTAACAAATAGAATAAAACTGCATTTGTAAAGTTATGAAACAATTTTTGACAAGGATGCCAAAAATGTCTAATCGAGGAAAGAGTAACCTCTCAACACCTGGTGCTGAGACAGCTAGATATCCATACGCATAAAGATGACTTTGGTTCTTTTGCTCACACCATAAACAAGAAAGATGTAGAAATCGATCATGTGGTCTCCATGGAAGAGCTGAAGCTATAAAAATCCTTGAAGAGCATATAAAAGTAAATCTCTTTGAGAGTTCTTAGCTATGTCTAAAAGCACAGTGGTGAGATAAAAATAGAGAAATTAGACTTCATCAAAATGAACAAACTCTTGGGTCTTAGAAGACAGCATCAGAACATGAAAAAACAAGTGATCAGACTGGAGATCAAAACTGGGACTTGAGTTGTGTGTGGAGGGTCTAGATGTGTGGAGCGTCAACACCCAGTAAAGCAGAAAACAGTCTAAGGACAGCACAAGAGGGAATTTGAGAATCACAACCTAAGACACTGAGATAACCTATCAAGAAAAACTTATTTGGAAATAAATGCATCGACTTACTGCTTCTTCTTCCTTGCTGAGCAGTTTGGCGCATGACAAAAAATCTTCATACTTTGCGTAAGGAATCACCGGCTCTGGGAGTTCTCGGAGATACAGCTTAAGAAGTGACGCCACTGTGTGCACGTCCGTGTTGCTGGGGAGAGAAGGTGGGAGATATTCTTTGGAGTGGACTTTATACCATTCTGCTTATTTTCTCACCAAATACATATCTGGGTGTCAGAATTGTAGCCACATCTACAGTTCAGCCAGACACATGCTCTGCAATGCTGACCTGCCTAGTTGGTGCTTCTCTAGGGAAGGAGAAGGATAGACAAGAACACCTCAAATCTCTGGTGTTGTCTGAAAATATTTAAAAGTTCAAGCATTTTTCTAACATGTGTAGTTGAGATAAGCAAAATTGTTAGCTATGGAAAACAAGGTGAATGAATACATCACATCTTAAATAAAATGTCATACAGTTTACAGATCTACGTGTGATTCATACATCAGAATTAATTACTTCTGAATCCTCACTCCATCTCTCAAAGCATAGAACTCCTTTTGAGACGTGATTGGTTACAGATTCTTGAAGCTCTAGCATGACATGCTATTACTTTTTAAGCATAGCTCATTTTGAAGAGGACTGACTCTCAGTATAATTGCTCCTCTACTATCCTGAAATAGTTCAGAATCTTAGAGTCCTCTACAAAGGAAGAGAAGTGCTGCAAAAACAAACAGTGAAAATTTAACATGCCCTTTGTGTAATTTACATAATTTATTTTTATCCTCTGCTGAATACCAGAGTGGCAGGATAATTTACTGAAACATTAATTTATATTTTGTTTTCCGTATCCCCCATTTTCTGTTAATCCATGAAGATGGATGGCAGAATAAAGAGAAGAGTGGTGATTCTTTTTGGGGGGTGGCTATATATTTCTGGGAGGAAGCAGCAGAAGCATGACTGGCTGACTGATTCCCAGGCGGAGTGTTAAGGAGCAGCAAAGGATGCTGGGAGAAGTGAGGGCTCAGCGGCACTCCTAGGCTGACCTGAGGGGGCTAAGCTGCCTGAGGGCTACACATGAGAAGTTGGATCCAGGCACTGGGATCTCCTGCCTAGTGAATATTCTCCTATTCCAAACTGTGACACGCATGTGGAATCTTTCTGAAACTGAGCTAGGACTCTGTGTCTCTGTTCTCTATTTTTTTTTTTTTTTTTAAAATAAAAGGAGGAAAATATCAACAGACAGACAACATTTTACAAAATAGCAAAAGAACAGTACAGACAATACAGAGTTACAAACAAAGTGGTAGGGAATTAACAATGCTTGTTGTATTACATATTGATATCTTCAAAGTGGTTTCTCATGAAAACAGATATAGACTGCAATATTGATCAATCAAGGACTCAGTGACAGTTTCTTTTAGCAAAGAAATAGAAGACAGTAGAACAGCCACATTAACTATCCTGTATATACATACATATGAAATTTCTCCTTCTTTCCCTTCACTTTTCCCACATCTCAGTTGCCTTTTACCCTTGAGTGCTTTCCTATCATTTCGCAATGTCTATCATACCTCCTAGTTTAAATTAACTCTTTCAGGTTTTACACTAGTGAAACAATGCAGTGCTTGCACATGTATGTTTGATTTATTTCACTTATGTCTATTTTGGACCCATGGGTGAATCTCATCAGGAATTTGCTGTGTTGTGAACATCTACTTTATATTGGGTATTATGAAAATATAGTGGTTAGGAGGACAGTGTTTTGAGAAGGTAGTATTTTAGCCCATTCATAACTTCTCATCTAGGGGGGAACCAGATATTAAAGTGATAATAATACACACATGGAATTACAGGGTGTGATGATTGGTAATAAAGAAAAGTGTTGCATGCTGCCTAATAACAAGAGAGGACTCATGTGGGCTTCGGGGGCTTCTCTGGGGAGAAGTGGCTGAGACGTGAAGGGTGTATGAGAAAGCACAGAAAGCAGAAAAGGGGACATTCTCAGTTAAAGCAAAGGAGAGCTGTCGGAACAGGCCAGTCTTGTGCCCTAGGAGAGCAGATAAAAGGCTGGAGATTTGTAGTGCCTCTGCGTGGACCACACCTGAGGCTCCCGCGCTACCTTGGAGTCTGTCGTCACCGCAGGAAAACCAACAGTGACCCTGCAGGTGCTGAAATGAGAAATTTGCCTTCATGGGGATTGGTTGGTTCATTTTATATCTTTATCTTAATTAAATACAATTTCCTTCTTAAAATTCTAAACAAATAATGTAGAAGAGCCGGTATTAAAGAATTACAGAAGATAAAGATCACATTTAAAGGATGGTTTAAAGCCTGCAACTAAAATCATTAATTCCTAAAAATAATCCCTGGATTATCTTTAAGAGATGGACCTGAAGTATTCCAATTGGTAAGATAAAGCATCAGAGGATCTGCTGTCATTTACTGGCAATGCACTGTATTTCAGGCATCTCCAAATCCTCTTTTTCTCTTCCTTGAGAGGAGAGTGTGTGACCCTCGGAGGTGCTGTCACCAACAGCAGCAAAACTATAGCCTGGGACTGGATACACAGTGCCACCAAATATCTCCATATACTAGTTCCACTTTTTTCTTCCAATCTACTATTATAACTTGGTTGGGTTTGTTTAGCCTTCAAAAATCAATAAGAATTTTGCTTGAGTTACAGTTAAGTGCAGAGAAGAATACAAAAATAAGATAGAAAAAGAAATATGTATATATTTCAATATGCAAAGTATGTTTTATATGTCTAAATAGAATATACCAAATATTTATAGGTGAATGCAGTAAGTAGATGAGAAAACAATGATACATACAAAAATCTGCTGTAAAGACTCATTACACGTTCTCTCCCAAATTTGATTCTTAAGCTATCTTCCTTATGAATTATTTCCTGAGAAAAGTACAGTGTTAAGAATGTTTGAACACTAGATGGCGGGGTTGCAAAGTCAGACTAGTAACGTGGTGCAAAAATTGTGAAAGATGAAAGTCTGCAGGATCATTCTTTCTCCACCTGCAATTTTCTTAGCAGCAAAGCTGCAGTAATGTTCCCAGAATAGAAATATTTGAGCTATGAATCAAAGTAAGAGAGGTGGGGTGGGATGACTATTACATTCCTTCCCAGCAGTGGCACGATACAGCGGCTTTCTAGTATTCTAGTATGTATGCACACAGTTAGTTATACAGAAATGATAAAGAGAAAAGAGCCAAATATTTTTTCAATGAACAAAGGTTATTTAGAGTTTTGCCTAAAGGCTAAAAGTTAAAATTGCATGACTCTCTTTTTTTGGGCTTTATTACACTTCCACATCTCTGTAGAAGTAGAAACTTCTGCATGTATTATGCACTTTCATATTATGGCTTTGTCCTTTCCCAATGAATGGAAGAAATAAGATTACATCTGGACAGATTCCCAGCCTGGGTTGCCTGTTTGATTCACCCAACGAGGCTCACAACCCCTTTGCTCCAATTGTCAGGAGGCTATACTGGCAATGTGGAAGTCTGATGTTGCTTTCTAAAATCTTTCACTACCAAATAGCAGCCTTCTGCATCTAACTCTCCAGCTTAGGCAACTCTTAGTGTAAATCCGCAATTTTGCATGACTGCTATTCACTTTAATTTGTGCAACCAATTAATTAGATAACAGTATTATGTGTCAATTTTCCAGTGAACTTCAAATGTGCCATTTTTGCCTTGGAGAAATATCTGTCTCCAAGAACATGAACTGAATCAACTTACTGTGGCAAAGATCTATGTACAGTGGAGATGAGGAATCCCTCAGTTGGCCAATAACCACATCAGCAGGGCCTCTCCACACACCATATCCTCACTGCAGTCCAATGAATAGATTCTGTTATTAGCCCCGGCTGAGGCGCTTGAACAGGACACCGCACAGACCAAATTCTTGCTGGCCAGTCATTCAGACAGGAGGTGCCCTAAAGTCATGCTCCTTTGCAAGAGTTTTAGATTGCCTGCTAGAGGAAAATCATTATTCATGCTGAAGTTTCTTTCACTCATTTGGTGGTAAAATTTGGTCAGAAATTAACAAATAATCATGTACTCTGGTATCCAGCTATCCTAGAAGGAAAAGGACAGATAGAGAGAGAGAGAGACAGATAGAGAGAGAGAGAGAGAGAGAGAGAGAGAGAGAGAGAGAGAGAGAGAGAGGGAAATCCTATAAAGGAAGAGAAAAGAGAGACAGACAGACAGACAGTCAGGGACATAGAGAGAGAGACAGAGAGATCGAGAGAGAGAGAAAGAGCCCGGGTGAGACAGCTCTCATAGAAGGAGGAGGTCTGTGACATATGTGCCTTCGTTGCTCAACAAATGGGCTTTGCTCTCACCCTTTCACTTTATATCGTACTTGGACTTCACTTCTGAATTCTGTTTCCTTGTGTGTCATAAGAGCCCATTAAGCTTTCTATGACTGACCTAATTATACTTTCTCATGGGTCGTCCTTTGGGCATTCTGAGATGAATCACTCACTCACCAAATGGTTCCTGCGGAACACACACGAAGTGCACTGCCTCAGGCCTCATGCTGAGTGAAGCAGTAGTCAACAGCATCTCTCCGTGGACAGACATCTCTAATTAGTCAGCATCAGCACTTTCAGATCATACCTCAGTTTTTCTTTATCATGACAGTCTCTCTGTCTATTCTAAGTCACTGTCAGATTGTGATCTTAAGACAGATCTCCTAGGGGCTGGGGATTTAGCTCAGCGGCAAAAGCACCTGCCTGGTAAGCGCAAGGTTGTGAGTTCGGTTCCCGGTACTGGAGAAAAACAAACAAACAAACAAAAAAAAAACAAAAGAAAGATCTCCTACTTTCTGGAAGTCACTTGCACTATTTATGATCTACGCACAATACTAGCTTCTTACTAATCTAAATGGGAATTAATGATCCTACAAGAACACCACCTTGCTCATCCTCTCACCCTACTCTTCCTTCCCTAGTAAACACACTGAGAAATCCAAATGCCATTTTAATTACAAGTTCAATATGACACAGAAAAAATCTGGTAATGTGTAAGCCTTAAAATTAGAAATGGGAATTGTTCACTCTGGATACCATGCATGGACAGAAATACACTCAATCTCTTGATTTCATTGAGAGAATGAATTATCAGTGATTCTG